GCCGGGCTCTGCCCAGCGGGGGTTTGCCACCCGTGCTCCGGAGCCCTGCCATTTCACCCATTTTGGTGCTCTGGGGCTTTTCCAAATCTGCTGCACCCCTGGAGCAGAGATTTGCGAGAACCGGGGAGGGGTCACATTCGCCTTCTTGTGACGTCACGGTGACGGAGGGGCCCCGGAGCACCAAAATGGGTGAAATGGCAGGGCTCGGGAGCAAGAAGTGGCAGATCCCCGCCATTGCCCTCCGGAGGTATCCCTTCAACTGTCTGAGTTGCTGCAGAGACGTCATCTAGATTGCAGATCGTGATACTCATTTCAGGCTGTGTAAAAGGCGATCTGCCGAAACGTTACAGGAAAAATATTGTAACAGTCTCTATCACTCAAAAACAACTCACAATATACTTTCTTTATAGTCTTTCATAGTGATATCGCACCTTTCTTTGACGTTTGCAAATTCTTGCCAGTGCTGTAGACGTAAACAAGTCGCTGGAATGAATTGAGAGAAGAAAATCTACAGGACGCACCAGAGTACGATCTAGCTGGAGGAGAAATTTCTTCATAGGTCACATATCGAAGGTGCACGAACATACTTATAGTTAGCACCTAGTTTAGTACGCGCGAGAAAGAGAGATGCTGAAAAATTATTTCGAAACAATACACCGTCGGTTATTGCACTGACTGTGAATTACAAACTTTTTCCCAAAACTTCCCACGGGGATTGTAGTAGATATTGGTCACCAAAATAATATCCGTTCCGCATAATAAGACCTTTCCTTTGAAGTTATATCAGAAATGTAAGATTAAAATCTGGAACCGCTGAGTCTCACTAGGGAGGTTCAATTAGTCGAAGTGGCCTTTCCAAATGAGTCCTATACCGCTTTGAAGAGCATTGAACGCTGATTCCGAAACTGATTTCACTATCTGCCAAGCGCCTCTGCATGCCAAGTCATGAGTATTTTTGGTGCGAAAAATGAACGCATAATCTAGTTAAAATCAAATTTACGGCCTTTTCAAAATGTCGAGACTAAACTTGGGTCCGCATCGAATAGAAATTCGATCATTCGAATAAAACATTCGAATACATTCGTATTCGAAATTCGATATTCGGATTTCTTCCATTTTCGAATAATATTCGAAACTCGAATAATTGAGAAAATGGGGTTTCGAAAAAAAATTCGAAACTCGAATAATCAAAAAACAGGGTTTCGAATAAAATTCGAAAACTCGAATAATACGAGGTTTCAAATATTATTCGAAAGCTCGAATAATTAAAAAAACGAGGTTTCGAATATTATTCAAAAACTCGAATAATCAAAAAACGGGGTTTCGAATAGATTTTATTCAAATGTCTTATTCGAATGTTTATTCGAATTCGTATTCGAATGTACTCCGTAATCAGATTATTCGACTTTGTTGCAGAGCCAACTGCTGAGTATCAAGCTCACTTCGTCCGCGTTTTTTTTTGCAAAACTCGGTGATGCATCTTTTGCAACCCGTCATACTTTTGAACTGTATGGAGAGTCGCATTCTTCCGACTGCTTGCGACAGTAAAAAAACCATATGTGGGTTTTAATTGATGTTTTTTCGATCAACGAGATCGTTCGCACTGCTATTGGCACAAATCACATCGCAGCAAAGAAGATATCAAATTCAAGCTCATGTTCTGAGTTCATACTGAATTGAAATGGCTGTTCTTCTTTCTTTGCATTGCTCATGCTTGCGGTACGCAAAGCACACACTAGTGAGCACTCTTGCTCGCATAAATTATTGCAAAACTGCCTATTCGTTACCTTGGAGTTTTTTGCGAATTCATGTATATTGAGTAAAGGACATCGCAGTTGTGGTGCAGGATTAGACGGTTTAGATCGCCGTACGCGATTTGCCAGTTACGAGATGTCTTCAGATGTAATGGCAGCTTACCACAGATGTTTAGCGTGTACAACATACTAAAATGATAAATGCCCTGCATTCTGTACTTTCAGAATAGGTTCTGGACAATGTATTGCCATACCACGTCGCCACTGAAATGCCTGCAGTAGCCCGAGGTTATAGGGGCATTCGTGCTCGCTTCGCGGAGGAAACACATGCCTTCGTCCACGACTAGCTAATACCACACAAGACGAAAGTCTCCGATGAACAGGCAATGTATCGTAGCATTTGTGGGATTTAAGTACATATGTGGTCACCTTAGCTTCAAAAGATCGCACACCTAGCGCTAGTCACCTGCTGATTATGGATAAAAATTTACTTTATCGATTTTATCGATTTTTGGAAAATCTTGAACTACGAGGTTGGGAGTTGGTACAAGGGGGTAAGTGAGGGTGCTGATTATGGATAAAAATTTACTTTATCGATTTTTGGAAAATCTTAAGCTACGAAGGTTGGGAATTGGTACAAGGGGGTAAGTGAGGGTGCTAATTATGGATAAAAATTTACTTCATCGTTTTTATCGATTTTTGGAAATTCTTGAGCTACGAGGTTGGGAATTGGTACAAGGGGGTGAGGGTGCTGATTATGGATAAGAATTTACTTTATCGATTTTATCGATTTTTGGAAAATCTTGAGCTACGAGGTCGAGAGTTGGTACAAAGGGGTAAGTGAGGGTGCTGATTAAAACCAAGATCTATTTTATTGATTTCAGCAATTTTTGGAAAATTTTGAGCTAGGAGTTGGTATACGGGATACTAAGAGGCTGATTATGATTGGATCGGCTTTAGCCAGATATGTCGGCAAGTTTGAGATGTGATTGCTTTAGTTATTCGATAAATCATTCGAATATTAATTCGAAATTCGACTTCCAATGTTCGAATATATTCAATATTCATTCATTCGATATTTTGGATTTTCCGAATTTATTCGAAATTCATTTATTCGATATTTTTGATTTTCCGAATTTATTCGAAATTCATTCATTCGATATTTTCGATTTTCCGAATTTATTCGATATTCGTTTATTCGAGATTTTTTATTTTCGAATTTATTCGATATTCGTTTATTCGAAATTTTTCCTCTTCGAATTTATTCGATATTCATTCATTCGATGAAAAATTATCGAATTACCCAAGTATAGTCGAGACGCAAACTAAAAAATGGTCCGACAGTCCTCACCCCAACTGGGCTGTGCCCCCAACAATTCCAGATGAGCTGCCTAACCGGGTGACTGGTGGTTATCCCTCCCCTTTCCTTATCTTATAAGTATATAATAGAGATTCTAGTCATAAATGTTATCTTATATATAAAGCTGAATGTCTGTTTGTCTGTCTGTATGTCTGTCTGTCTGTCTGTCTGTATGTCTGTGTGTACGTATGTTCCGAATAGAAAATTCCATTTCTGAACCGATCCGGACCAAACTTGGCACACATACACTACGGGCCCCGGCGGGTGTCGTAGGCTACTTTTCGTCATCGATCGATATCGATTTTATCGATTTTTTTGCAAAGTTTGAGCTACGGGGCTGGGAGTTGGCACAGGGGGGTAATCGAGCATGGGGATTCCGAATACAATATTGGTTTTCAGGATTATCGATTACTTTTATCGATTTTATCGATTTTTTTTGCAAAGTTTGAGCTACGGGGCTGGGAGTTCGCACAGGGGGGTAATCGAGCATGGGGATTCCGAATACAATATTGGTTTTCGGGATTATCGATTACTTTTATCGATTTTATCGATTTTTTTGCAAAGTTTGAGCTACGGGGCTGGGAGTTGGCACAGGGGGGTAAGCATGCTGATCATCCCCAAGGGGGGTGATCAGCATGCTCGATTACACCCCTGTGCCAAATTCCAGCCCCCTAGCTCAAATTTTCAAAAAATCGATAAAATCGATAAAAGTAATGGACGATCTTGAAAACTAATATTGTATTCGTAATCTGCATGCTCGATTACCCCCCTGTGCAAACTCCCAGCCCCGCAGGTCAAACTTTACAAAAAAAATCGATAAAATCGATAAAAGTAATGGACGATCCTGAAAACTAATATTGTGTTCGTAATCAGCATGCTCGATTACCCCCCTGTGCAAAATCCCAGCCTCGCATGTCAAAATTTACAAAAAATCGATAAAATCAATAAAAGTAATCGATAATTCTAAAAACTAATATTGTATTCGGAATCCCCATGCTCACTCCCCCCCCTGTGCCAACTCCTAGCCCTGTAGGTGAACTCTGCAAAAAAATCGATAAAAATCGGTAAAATCGACATCGATCGTGGACTGTGACGCCCGCCGGGGCCCGAAGGTATGTGTGCCAAGTTTGGTCCGGATACGGCGGAGCCGGGTAAGCCAGCTAGTGTTCATATAAAGTAAGACAATCAGGGTGAAGGATTCAAGTCAGGAGAGTGCACCTTCTGTACTTCACAAAACTTCAAATAGAGCAATGTTAAGTATGTGTCTTGGACAAAAGGTGTTCCTTGAATGGAGTGCAAGTGCATTGACATTCAAATTGCATGTGAGCAATTCTGACAAATTTTGTTCTGATTAGCCGTTCAACTTTCCAAGCCAAAGAATCATAACTCGGCGTCCAGAGGCGCTTGGAAGATAACGAAGAAGATGATATTTGCTGTCAGCTTGGCAAACAAACCTGCTTTGTAAAGTTTTTGTGGTTTGAGGTCTGACTTCACAACGTTATTAATTTGTGTGCAGAAATTGTTCCTATCCGGTATTTTCGCAACGCACATCGCAGCGCCTTTGGCGCTTTTCGGTGCATAACATTCAGTTCACGCATCAGTGTTAAACAGCGATCCCCTAGTCAGAAGTGGAAGGCTGCTTCTATGATTTTCTTTCACGAAGGTCTATATGTTTTGGTAGGAGAACAAACTGTCTCACAAAACGATTGTCATCAAGCAGTTTTAAGTTGAAGGCACTAAGAAGATTTCTAATGAAGAAAGATTTACTTCTCTCTTTTGTTCGAACAAGGTCGTAAGTCAAGGTTTACGCGAAACTATTACCGAGAACTTCGATTTTGAAAAGCATTATTGTGCGCTTGATACATTGATGGTTTTATTTCACTCATATGAGATGCCCATTCGCCCTCAACACAGTTTCAGGTATGAACGCATGCCAGAAACAAAAGACATTGTGGTATTGTCTATCAGTGTATCGAATGGACTGACAGAACACTTTAAAATGTTTTTTGCCTACGAATCAATTCATAGAAGCAAAAGCTTTGAAAAGAAAACATGCATTAGTTGATCCGAATCAAATTACTCCAGCATCATTGGAATTCTTTCCGTACAATTTACTTCACGCTACGATTTGGGGCATGGATCTTGGAAGAGCACCAATATTTTCATAACTGGATGGTCACATCGCCTTCACTGTATGCAAAGAAAACACTTGTTGGCATTTCACTGCAATCAACTGTATGCCAACAAGCAAAAATTACGACAAGAACCATAAAAGTATGCAAAGAACCACTTAAACGGCAGGAACTGTGTGCAAAAAAGCGACTATGTGTAGCGTGCTCCGTGAGTATAAACCATGCGCGGCGGCTAATTTCGCACTGGGTTATGGGGCGCGCTTTCCGCAGCCATGTGTAGATCTAAAGGCGGTGGGTCGGCAGAAAGAGACCCGTGGCAAAACAAGGTCACAGGGTAGAAGCCCCATAATGGAACCTATGGGCCAAAGTTCGATCTTTCTCTGCCACTTCTAACCCCCGAAATTTTAAAGCGAAAGCAGCGCTCATCTCCTGTCCTCTCCGAACCCGCCCACCCCATGGACGAGTGACTTCTGCGGTCAGAGCGCCACCCGCAATGCTATAAGCATGGGGTCCCGCAACGACTCTGCGTCTTCGCCATGGCTTCACGTGCACTCGTCCGTCGGGTGGGCGGGGTCGGAGAGGAGAGGAGATGAGCGCTGCTTTCGCTTTGAAATTTCCGGGCTTAGAAGTGGCAGAGAAAGATCGGACTTTGGCCGATAGGTTCCATATGGGGGCTCTTACCCTGTGACCTTGTTTTGCCACGGGTCTCATTCTGCCGACCTACTGCCTTTGAAGGCAGCGTCCACCCAGAATTTGGCCCCCATGTTTTCGTCATTCTGGGGCCATTCCGTGGCCCTGATTACAGTTCCGAACTTCAAACACTCCAAAATTCACAAAAAACCCGATTCTTGGGGACCTGTCTTGAAGGCGCGGACGAGTTTCGAATCGCTCGTCCCCGTGGCAGGCCAGCGGGGAGGAGCTGCAATGCATGGGAGCAGTTGCAGCAGTGTGCAGCTTCTGCTCACCACCATGTCAATACATGTCGGGAGGCATCCCCGGCTGGGCGGAGTCTGATATCAGACTCCGCCCAGCCGGGGACTTCCAGGCCCCTTATCTTCATTCAGAGACAACGTTAGAAGACCGGATCAACGCAGATGCCCCTTTGGGGCCTACATTCAGGATCGACACTAATCGGAGGGGGTTAGGTTTAGCCTGGACACTGCCTTTAAGTACGTGTCAAATCTTGTCTATTCAACGTACTATAAGCAAATGATTTTGGCCGCTGCTATGCGTTTAGCACAAACGGAAACTCGCTACGAACCTACAATTATATACTCGAATAATGTTTTTGTGTCTGCCCCAAACCTTTTGGGCCTGAAAGCGCGTGAAATTTTTCCATTCCGGACATCATGACTGAAGGCTACAGCCCGGGCGAAGCGTGTTACTTCGCGAAGAGTGTAAAGTCGACTGCACGAAATCACCCATATCGCTGTAGGCTGAACGCACGCGAGCGTGGCTGCAACGCATGCCGTGTACTGCTGTAGTGACTCAGCACACGAATGCCAATGCTAGCCCGCAAGAAACCTCGCGGGCGTTCAGCCTGCTATGCTTCGGGCAATTCCGTGCAGTGAACTATATAGTTGCAACGGTTGTCTTTCATCACTAAACCTATCAAACCTCGCGTACGTCTTTCCGAGCAGGGGCCTTCGTTTGGGAGTAGCCCATACCTGCCACTTCCAACCGAATGACAAGGCATGCCAACTGCTTTTACAAGCATTCTTGAATGTCATCACAGGAGAGCGCTTAAAGGCAGTGTCCACGCAGAAAGTCGATTTTGAGATTTTGTGCTTATCTGGACCTATTCGCTAGCTGAATCCAAAAATTAACACTGGAGAGCGCGAAAACAGCGAAAAAAGGCCCTAACGCAGAAGGGAAATCGCGGGTGGGCGGGGCTGTTCACATTGTGACGTCACTTTCCCAGATTCAAGAGTGATCTTTTCTCTTCCGATAGTCGCCCTAACATCGCCACCAGCCAAATGCGAACGCGTGACATAAAATCAGGACCGACAAGATCGCTCCTGAATCCGGGAGAATGACGTCGCGGAGTGAATGGCTCCGCCCACCTGCAATTTCCCTCCTGTGTTAGGGCCTTTTTTGGCGTTTTCGCGCTCTCCATTGTGGTTTATCGGATTCAGCATGGCGAATAGACCCGGGTAAGCACAAAATCTCAAAATCGACTTTTTGCTTGGACACTGCCTTTAACACATTACGACAAGGCCGATTTTTCGATTACTGCCATTTCGGACAGGAGCCTCTTTTGCTCTGCCAAACTTACGACCCACCCGTGGGTCGTATTGTCCGAAATGGTAGTCTTTTTGTAAGAAATTCAAAACATGTCTCTGAGAATATCCCCACAAGGGTTATCGAAGGCGCTGATTATCAAAATACGATTTGTTTCAGTTTTTGGCAGTATACGGTAAGATTACGGTAGTCACTCTGTACGAACCCAACATCACGGATTTTTGTGAAAAATTGTGTTTTTGGGGTTATTCCACATGCTGATCACGATTATAGTGTCCACTTTGTTCACTACTTTCCCACAGTGGGACTACGGTAGCAGCACGGTAGAATTTTTTTAAAAATCAAGAAACTGATGTAAGAAGGCGGTGTTAGAACTTGAGACTATCATTTTCATAATCAGCATGCTAAAAAACCTATATATGCAAGGTTTGAGCTTCCTGGGATGAACAATGCGAAAAATCAATAAAATCGATACTTTTTGATGGGCTGACATTAGTCTCATGCTCCCCCTGTATTTCGTGTGCATGTAAACTTGAATTGTCAAAAACAGCACCGCTCTGCGAGAAATTCGAGCTAAAATCTGTGCCTTACCTCTATCTACGGTATACCTACCGTAACATTACATTACAGTATCCCGGACCCGGACCACTCCGGCTGGAGCTTCGTCAAGGTGTCCCCAATCAGGTGCCAGAATACCGTAGAATTCCATCGCATGCTGGCAAAGTTGCTTTCGAAAACTTACGACCCACCGGTGGGTCGTATTGTCCGAAATGGCAGTACACGTACGGCCCACCGGTGGGTCGTATTGTCCGAAATGGCAGTACACGTACGGCCCACCGGTGGGTCGTATTGTCGTCAATGTGTTAAATGGCGGGATGAGCTCAAATTCTTGTGTGTGCAATATGTTTCGTTGCTCGCGTGCATCAGCGTCGCGGTCAGGCATGGTGATTGCGAACTGATGCAGTTTGCAATATACGCACTGGACTTTTACGGATTTGATTTGCACCTTCGCTAGTATGGAGTGTTCCCATTGCATTTTCCTTATATTCTGTTTTTGTGCATGATAGCATACTCACATTGGTCACATCTATAGTGGATCTTTTTTACAGGACGTATTCGACTGGTACATTATTGCAGCAATTGCTGCTTTACTGCGACAGGTGTGTTGAGTTTTGTCAATATGTATTCAGTTATCTTTCTTGGATTTGTTATTTAACTTCGTTCCTATTAAAGGTTTTGTTCTGTTTTTATTTTTGTTGCAGTGTTTTTGAGCACTTTGAAAAGATGCCAATTAAATCTCCTTGCCATTTGGAGGTTTTGCTCAACAGCTACTTTTAGTGATGTCTGCGGTTATTAACTCTAGACCAACTTCCTCTGCTGCTGGTAACAGTATCGGAGAGGAGGCTAGACCAGGTTTGTTCATTTTTCAACTTGCTTAAGCCAGAAACCTGCTGAGTTTATGTCAAGCAATAGATTGTAGTGTAGAAAGTCGAATTCTTTCAATGAAGTTCCATTTTTCTCTAAAATACTTAACACGTAGTTCCATCTTTTTCCAAAATACTCGATACGTCAATGGTCTCTTCAATACCTGAAAATTAGGACAGGAAATTGAGTTTCTCTCGTATATTATTTATCGCGACAACGACAGTCTCGTTTAGATTCCACGAAAAATCCCGTTCCAGCTTTACTTCACAAAATCGAAGGTCATGTTGCTCGGGTAAACGACGTATATTTACTGTCAAAAGAGGAGGGAGTGTGGACTTGCAGCGATGACCGATCTGTCAGGCTCTATCTGAAGAGAGACAATGGACAGTTTTGGCCTTCCATTCATAAAATAATGCCTGTCGCTCCTACTTGCCTTTATTTCAGTGAAGAAACTTCTAGGTGAGGTCTTAGTGCAAAGTCATACTAATTTTGCTCGGCCACTTCATATTCCTATTTTAGGCTTCTTGTCGGTCTTCTCAACGGCCATGTATATGAGTATCATGTAGCAGATGATTATAATACTATGAGCGACCCCGAAGCGAGGAGGTGAGTCATGCTTTGTAAAATCCAACTAATGGTAACTATTTGATAAAGAGTTGTCTTATCAAAGTTGTCATTCTCGTACTGCTCAAATCGCTGAGATTATTCTCATCTTTCTGGCTTCAAAAAGGGTCGCTGAATGGTCAGATTTGCAAACCTTTGAAAGACTGCTTGAATGGCGTTGTGTACATCTGCTCAGCTTTTGAAAGTGCGATGCTTCTGATTGGTGGTATGTGTCGTGAGATTTTTCTCACGACACATACTATACAATCATACTAGATACAACCGCAAAGCAGCTCGCATGCTGTCTTTGACGCCTTAGTGCAGGAGCACCAAGGTCGAAAAAACGTCTCAAGGCGGCGCAAAGAGGTGAGAGATAGCGACAAAGGGGTATCTATGTGAAGTACGCTAGGTAACAAAAAATGTAGTTCAATCTATAAATATTCTGTCCCTTTAGAAAGATAATGAGTTAGCATAATAGCTTTGAGGCACATAATCTGCTCTTTACTTACAAGGTAAGGCCTTGTAATTCATGGTTGCGATCTGGAGTGAACTGCATATTACTGGAAGCGTTTGACAGGCTAAATTCATCTGTTGTCCGTATTCTGGTGAGAATTCTGTGGAAGAACCTATGATCGTTTGAATGTTGCGGATTTTAATGCTTGCTCAAAAAGCTGCTGAGTATAGTTTTGAGGGAGAGAGGTGTAATCGGCATGATCTTGAGGATTTTAATCACGGGAAAGAAACACATTTGTCAGAACTAAGAGTTTTTGAACCTCTAGTTCTTGGATGTATAGCATTTGATGTCTGCCAAAGGGACTGGCAAACGCTTATAAGCTTTGCTGGAGAACCATTTAGCAGTAACGGAAGATACATATGGGATCAACTTATCAAGACTCATGTTTCAATCCAAAACGCTTCTGCAACTCCAGATCTTTCTTCGGTTTAACAGTCACTCTGACCTCATAGCGATGATCTAACATCCCAAACTGACTGCCTGCGAAACTTAATATGCTCATACTCTGTCGGTCAAAGTTTATCTGTTGCGAGTATTGTTATCGTACTGTCTTTTTAAGGTGAAAATTCGTAGTAATTCATACGTGGTGCTATAGCGGGTTGCCTTTGGAAAATTGCTTTCGTCAAAGTGGCTTACCGCATCCGTAATAGCGCTTAAGTCGGGAAAATGTTAGGACAGATCTACTCTTGTGTAGTTCTTGAAGTCGGAGCGATTTTTTCGCTAGATAACTTGCACAATTTTTGTTGATATTATCACCCTTCACTGTTGTTGTTTTTTTTTGTAGTCCGGCGAAGCATCAATAAGCTACTGAAGTAATAAAGTTATTAACCTCGCTGATTTAGATGGACCATCCATGCTGGGCCCATATCAGGGTTGGGAATCGCGTTAAGTGCTGAGCTTGTTTTCAGTTGTTCAAAAGACAAATCAGTAGTCTGGCATTGTTCAGAAACGGGAATTAAACGAGGTAGCAACGTTTACACATAAACCAAAAGCTTGAAGCACTTCAGTCGTTTAGGTGCATTCCATTGTGATAGCAGTTGTACGGCCATGGCTATGGATTTGCCTTTCGTTTTTATTGGTGACCACGGTGGGAATGTGGTTGTGCTGAGATTGAGTGGCGACACAGCGCAGATGGTGAGCAAGCTGAGTGCTCACACAGGTGAGGTTTACTATCTTTGTTGTGCGTCGGTAAACGACACGAACGTTGTTTACAGGGCCGGTATCATCGCTGGCTTGGAACAGAGTGAAGGAAATCCTTTATTCTGGCAGTTATGACAATCTAGTGATCATGTGGGATATTGGCGGAAAACGTGGTGAAGCTTATGAGCTGAAGTACTGCATATCTGTTGAGTATGAATTTTGAACAAAGTGATCGTTTTCTTCAGCGGACATTCCTCAAAAATTACCAGCCTAGTGATCGCTCCGGGTGCAGCGCGCCTTTTCTCTGCCGACGATGCAGGAAAGCTTGTTTGCTGGGATATGTCAGCTAATAGGTCGTATAAATATCATGTGCCTATCTCTCAAAACAATAAGTTTAATTTGAAGGCTGGAAACACCTGGTTGGAAGACCGCTGACAACTGTGAGATTTGCGATGCACCTTTTTTCTGGAATCTCACAGCTATGTGGCAAAGAAAGGTCATGATTCTGACGTGCATTCTACATAACAATATGTTACTGAAGTTGCGCGTTTTCAGGTGGTAGGACAACGACAGCACCACTGTCGAACTTGTGGAAAAGCTGTGTGCGGCGCTTGTTGTTCAAACTGGACTATTTTTCCTCGCATGGGTTACGAGCTGCCAGTTCGCATATGTAATGTATGCCATGAGAAAATGGAGGAAAATCCGCAGCAGTTCGAGTGAGTCATTCATGCAGCTCAAAAAAACAAATCTGGAGTGAATTCACGATAAGAAAATCGTTAAATGTTATTTGCCTCAATGAGTACAGATTTCGATCCTTTCTTTCATCGATTTCTACCATCCTTGTTTTCCAGTCTTACCCCACTGTCTGTAGCGCATGACATCCGAAGCGGTGTGACAGCGATGCATCTCCAAGAAACGATGGGGAAACTAGTGACGGCCAGTCAGAACAGGGTGGTAATGATATGGGATATACGCAGTATGTTATGAATACACTCTGAAGTTCTCAGAAAACGCCCTTACTTAATACTGTTTTTTTTTCAAATGATTTCCTTGTTCTTTCTTTTTTTTTCTTTTTTTCAATGTATGCAACGTCTTACTTGTACAGCTCAAGAAACAAATGTAGTGAGTAACATATATTGAATCCAACGAGTCTGTGAAAAACATTACGGTGAACTTTATTATTTTGATCACTTCAGAATTTGCGATCATGGTCAAGACTATTTATTTTCACTTCCGTATTTGCTGTCTGCAATAAAATTCATTGCATAGTATCGCGAGACAATTTGAATACAAAGTGAGTATAAGAACATAGGTAAGTGTTGCAAAACTATGTGCAGATAAGATATAGGCCGTAACAAAGAAAGCATGTAAAACACGCCGGAACCCGCTCTAAAGTCTAGCGAAGCTAGTATTTCATTTCAAAAAATGTCGGAACAGGAAATAATATCTAATCTCAATTACTGTATGGGATCGGCCATACTATTCCTGTGATTCCTGCGATTCCCGTGATTCCTCGACTTCCAATGCTCCGCATTAACGGTCGCTTTGTTATTTGGTGTCGCGTAGCGACATTACATGGATTGTAAATTTCGTAGTAAAGAATGTTTTTCCTTCGCTTCCTATGTATATTAGTGATGAAATCCTTTACATCATCTCCCGTTAAATCTTCACAGTGAAGATTAGACCTATTCCAGCGGGTCGGTTGAACTGAGAAAACGGAAACAATCCATATAGAAGTCAGTAAATCATTTGATTTCATACACATCACTTCGAAACCAGGAGACACAAGTACGCTTTGCACAGATATGATTAATAACCTTATGACTGTGATCTATGTCTTTCCTTGGAAAATTCATTACTTGAAATAAAGAAGAACAAATCCCATATGTTCAAACAAAGTGTACAAAGCGGTCTTGAGTTTCCTAATCTTGGGATAAATGAAAGTGGCGACTAACAATCGTGGGTAGCATGGGTGACTTGACCGTTCTACGTTTAGACGTTTGTTGGCACTTCAGATTGGCGTATGTGTAGCTTGAGAATGAAAAAGAATGGATAGAATAAGTAATGTATGTCGCAAATAAAGTTTCGCCTTACGCGACATCAAATGACAAACTGGCAAAGCGCATCATAGTGCGGCGCCTCGGAAGTCGTGGAATCACAGGAATCACCTGAAATAGTATGACCGGTCCCGAATGACTAGAACAGTTTATGTGGGAAAAAACTACGTCATGGCTGCAGTAAGCGTGGAGCAAGTGATTTTTGGTGGAACACTGGATATTAAGCGACAAGCATTAATAACTCCGTAACGAGACCCATGAAATATTAGGTTGGCTAATAAATAAGTTCGTTTTAACATGCAAGTTCAAAACTTCATAACAATTCACGTAACAGCTATTCAGCTAAGATTTTTTCATGAGAAGATATCCTCAGCCTCTACTCATGAATATTAAATATTCAAGATTTTTTATTAGCAAAAAATGACAGTTATAACCTTATATGATCGGACTTCTAAAAAATCGCATTTTTGACTTTGTAGCTTTCGTTCTCACCCTGCAGTGAGTACACAGGCGAGTAATTTGGTGGCTGGATACATACAGCCTCTGGCTACGTGGCGAACCACAATCGAGATTGTGACCTGCTTTTTCTGAATTTCTGCAGTCAAAACTGCGAAATTCCAGCCATTCGCGCGTGAAGGTCAAATTTTGGGCATTCCAGATAACTCGAATTTGGCCATCTATGGTCATGCAAATGGTCGGAAATTCAAAAATTTGTTGTGTGGATAGCGAATCTACACTTTACATTTGACTTCAGTTCGTTTTTCGGAGCTTGATTTTTCGAATTTTTTTTTTGGGAAAAACCTGACCAACTTTCTTTTGTTCACCATTTCATTATCAGAAAAATTGTTTTTGAGAAAACAGAGTTAACCATCCGATTCTCCTTGATTTGCTCTTTCCAGTGGTACCCTTGTATCCACGCAAAAACTGATTTGTGACGATTCTACAAAACCGCTAAAAACGACCGAACTTATTTTTAGCCAACCTAATATTAAGGTAATGTTAACTCATTTTCAGTTGCTAAAATTTCTTAACTAGTAGAGTTCTCAACTGCATAGGATGGGTCTCGATAAAGGAATAATTTCATAGATGTATACGGAACAGTTGCACAGACTTGTACTCACGACTTCTTTAAATAACAACTCTATGTAACTAGACAACCTAAGAAACGTGAATCATGATCTAAAACTATGTTGACACTACAATACGAAAGAATGAAAAAATTTCACGATAAACAGTAAAAGTGCCGCGTTATGAATAACTAATTGAGTTTTCGATGCAGATTTACCTGAGCAGAAGCACCGTAGCCAAAGCATTGAGCTCTAGTTAGCAAGAGCAGGATTGATCTTTTGGAGCCATGTCTCTCTCCGAAAGGCTTATGGACTGACTTCGCATTAAGCCACCTTTTACACCTTCCCAACCATCTGTGGGACGGAGGAGTCCTTCTTCCACACGTCGGTTTATCTAAACGATGATCAAGTAATTTTATGTCCTTCCAGGAAGGCATGAGTTACAATCACCTCTTGTGCAATCATCAAAAAAGAATCGAAAACATTTTTCCCTGTGATTGCCGAGGTTTCGATGAACTTCATTTTGTGATATTTGGCAAAATACTCTCCTTCCTCATAATCCACCTGCAGATATAGAGTGTATCAGATGCGAGAATCTGCAGAGCAAAACCTACTTTCCTCTCCGCTTGGTTGTCCGACTTGTGTCCAATTAATTGGAAGACACACTTTCCAGGATTTGGGCCTCCCATGTTGGCTTCTGCCTCATGGAGCCAACCGTTGACATTTTCGAAACTAGTTCGATTTGAGATATCGTAAACTAACATCACTCCAACGGAATTGCGATAATATGATCGGGTGATTGACCTTAGACATAGATGGCATAGAGGAGAAGCAAGAATTTGGATTATACCTGAACTTCTCCTGTCCAGCAGTATCCCACAGCTGGAGCTTCACTCTGAAGTTTGGTCTAAGCTCAATCATGCGTGCGTAGAAATCAACACCAACAGTGGGATCACTGATTTCTGCCATTTTCCCTTCAGTGAAGTATTTCAGCAAGCTTGACTTCCCAACTGTGGAATCTCCAATTATAATAACTCTATACTGATAGTGAAATAGTGGTCCGTAGTCGTCACCGATGAAGTTAAACTCCATGGTTGTGACACTACACAGCTCCTTTACCAGAACTGCAAGCGCGTTAGTCTCGCACCTGTTACTGTAAATCGAGAAGGATTATCGAAAGCATGAACGGTAAGCACGAGAAGGATTATCGAAAGCATGAACGGTAAGCATGTAAGGCTGGGTTCATACCGATTCCGAAGTTCCGGAACAGTTCTTGCACAGTTCTCGCACTGTGCAGGATCTGTTCCGGAACTGTGCTGCATGCGCTGCAGCCGCCCGCATGCGGTTTTGAGATGCGCGAAAACAATTTTTGGCTTTCTTCAACGGTTTTCAGAGTGAATTTCCTAACATAATTTCTTGATTTTTTACGCTCTTTTTAACCTCATTCTTGTGTCTTGCTTGCTCTTGTGATTGAAAAGGTTCAAACTTGTCGAGGGGTACAAGAATGAGCGCACTTTCGTTGTGTGCATCAGCTGAAAACTGTCACAAACTGGTGTCGCTTCCATTCGTGCACATTTCTCCAAGTTTGGAGTTTCTCCCATCAGAAGCGATGCAGTAATCAAGCACGGAAGAGCTTGCAGTAAAAGTTGTGAAAAGAAATGGGCTGAAACTCTCAAAACCCCCATATCGTGAAAACACAAAGAAAAGCACGATTTCCGCAATCGTGGTGGTTGTACAGGAGCTTTCAATCTGAGTGTCACGGAGACGAGGTTCAGGCGCCCCGCTTAAAGGCAGCGTCCAGGCAGATCTGGACCTATGAGGCTTTTACGTGGAAAGTACTTTTGGGGCCCTAACTAAGGCACTGCCCAAGCGGCAGCTCAAGTAGTGCTGTAATGGCTGAGATATTCCTCTCGAAACTGGACCCCGCGACCGTGTTTCGCATGGATTCATGGCGCAAAGCGTGGATCCTGGCGCGAAACTGCCATGAATCCATGCGAATACGTTCGCGGGGGCCAGTTTCGAGGGGAATATCTCAGCCATTAAAGCACTACCTGAGCTGCCGCTTGGGCAGTGCCTTAGTTAGGGCCCCAAAAGTACTTTCCACGTAAAAGCCCCATAGGTCCAGATCTGCCTGGACGCTGCCTTCAAGTCTCTCACGTGGTACATTACCGCATCCGATACCGCGCTTTGGCGATGCGGTGTTGTACCACGTTAGAGAGCCAAGCGAGGATGCCCGCGAGGAACTGAACCACGTCGACCGTGATACTCAGATTGAAAGCTCATGTATGAGTCCTTTCTGAAGGCAGCTGACGATATCAAGGATGCAGCGACTCTGAAATACAGTCGACTAATTTCATATGATCATGTGTTGTGTCATTGCACACACCGTCCACCTGCGAAGTCCCCATCCTGGACTTTCAAACGAGGCAACCCTTCGGTACAGTCGAATAGATTTTCCGCTTAATATAGTGTGCTTGCACTGTAGGTAAAATGCGGTGAAATTTGCGCGTAAATTATTAGCCACGCCAGTGATGCCGGCAATCTGCGCGCGCAATTGGAAAGCGTCATAGGCGTAGCGATTTCTCCACGTACAAATTTTACCGCATTTCACCTTCAGTGCAAGCACACTATATTGAGCGGAAAATCTACTCGACTGTATCGCCCCCTCCACAAATCGTGCACCCTTGTGGCGTCGCGGTCATGCCACGTGTGACTAACACTTTGGCAACGTTGGCAGCAACACGTTGGCAACATGCAGCAACATGTTGGCGTGGCCAAAATGTTCTGCCAACATGTTGAGGCATGTTGTAAACATGTTGTTGCCACGTTGCCAACATGTTAGCCACACGTGGCAGGTCTGAGACGCAGACCAAGAGTAACACGATCTGTGGAGGGGACTATAAGTGTTTTCGATGTGATTTCAGTGTTTTGTTTCTGTTAGTATTGTTCACCTCAAAGTGATGTAAGCAATAGCAGTCAGTCAGTCTCTTGCGTTCTTGCGGCGAGTCCAGCATGAGAACGCCAAAGATGAACGGTGTGCCGGTGAACACATGATCATATGAGCTGAATCGACTATACAAGAGCGTTTAACAGAAAAATCACGAAGGAGAAGGGCGCGCAAAGGGAAATACAGGGGCCTGCAGGATCGCGAGAGTCGGACGGCGTACGGCCATTGCGCCGCGCACGTCAGATGTGCGTCCAACGACTCAGTGCCAGACTTATCCTGTTCAACAGTTCATTCGGTTCACTACCTTTGCTGTTGAACAGTGTAGTGATTTGAGCTATGAACCGAACGAACCTGTTGAAGCGGATAAGTCCGGCACCTTTGTGACAGCGGCCGACTCTCGCGATCTTGCAGACCCCTATATATATAATTCATGCAGTACATGACATAAAAAGTTTTATTTTCGAATCCCTTTGAGTTCGTAATTCACTACATCACAAGAAGAAGCAAGATGTGCGAATGAGACGAAAATGGACGAAGTTTATAATTAGAACTGCCGAAGAAAGTCAAATTTGTCATTTCGCGCCGCTCGAAATCACATGCGCGCGGCTGCAGCGCATGCAGCACAGTTCCAGCACAGTGCGAGATCATAATTTGTTCCGGAACTTCGGGACCAATATGAACCCAGTCTAAGGGAACGGCCATAGATTGCCGGCAATGGTTGCCGCCGAGGTTGCCGGTCGTTTAGAACGTCATAGTACTCTCTGTGTGTTATGCACTCTCTAACAACCCCAGCAGCTTCGGCAACCGTTGTCGGCAACCTATGCCGTTCCCTAATCAAGGTATAAAATATGATACTTGCATCAAAACACAAAAAAACTGCTAATCGCCTTCTCACAGCTATGAAGGTGGGGCACTGCATATACCTGAGACCTTCTAAATACTCTCTCCGGCCATAGAACAAAAATGTATTCGCCGGAAACCCTCCCCATTCTTACTAGACAAGTACAGTCTGTTCCTACTGAGGATAGGCCGACAATTCGCATGGAGAAGGCGTCCGCTTCCTGGAGGCTCAGCGAGACCAGAGCGCTGACATTTTGCCATCTAGAGGTCGAAGAGAATGAGGATATTCAGGTATGGGTTCATAACACGATATGATAAAGTCGCGGAAAGGTGCGAATCGTTGCGTATGTGACTTTGATAGGCGTCGAGTTATAGTAAGTTTCAGCTCCGGTTAGGCGGAAATTAGACTGACGGGAGTCGGCTGCACGTCAGGAGGTACGCCGCGCGCGGCAACCGCTCTTCCGCGCACGCCGCGTCCAAATCTTGGGACCCACAAAGCTCCCCGCTGTTAGAGATTCCCGTCGGCAAAAACAGGGGGTGGGGATAGGGACAGATACATGACTCGAGACCATAAGTAACTTTGCACCAGGTGCGCTGCTGTTGTATTCGCTGAAGTATGTTGTGGCGTCGCTTCGCGAAAAATTCGCGCCAATCGTACCTCCTGACCGTCCCCCACGGGAGTCCGCTCCCGCAGTCTGCGTCTCTTCACTCTAATCTATATCGCTGAGCCAGTGGCGGTGCGTACGCGCTACTCCACTTGGAATGTCTCGTTTATTTCGGGCTGAAAAAGACTATACAGTCTGCCCCAATCCTAACCAGGCCAGAATTGGCATGGTGGGAACCCATGTCGCGAGGTTATTGCGTCACATACGGCTGGCTGGCTAGTCTGCTCTCTCCTCAATCTCTTCGCTATATGCGACAGCGCGCGTATGCAGCGCAAATCGCTAGCGTTGCGAGCGCGCAAATTCAGCCGTTGGTTCGGCCTGATTGGGGCAGACTGTATGTATGGCCCCGACCTCCAAACCCCCGTTTATTGTCGACTCCCCAACTTTGGCGAGGCGGAGTCGTGATCTTCACCAAAGATCGATGGATCAGGTATGCCTTAGCACAGGGCAACCGCAACGCAAGGCACGCTAGCGCAGCTCCGCCTCGCCAAAGTTATGGAGCCGCTCATATGCACGGGAGTTTTTCGGGGTACAGAAAATTGTGTTTGTCGCCTCATGCCGGGGTGCCTTTCTCCACCGCAACCGACGTGTTCCACTTCAAAAGCGAATTTGTCTACTGAAACTGAGGATGAGGCTTTCAGAGCTATAAATGCTCGTGTACATTTTGCTTCGTGGCATCGTCAATATCTGCTGTTTCTTCAGTCACAATAGTTCCAGGGCCACGGGTTTGCACTGCGCATTTCTTAGTACATGTAAAGTCGACTGCACGAAGTCGCCCGGGTCGCTGTAGGCTGAACGCACGGAAGCGTGCCTGCAACGGCTGCCGAGTACGGGCACTATAATGACTCATGCGTGCGCATGCCAATGTTAGCCCGCAAGATACGGGTAGGGGAACGAAAGCCGCCAGTTTGAGCCGCCTCCGCGGACTGCTGGTCCTGGAACGGCATGCAACATCGCTGCGAAAGGAACAGTTGGCCGCGAAAAACGACTCAAACTGGCGGCTTTCGTTCCTCTACCCGCAAGATACACGCACGTCAGTCCAATCGATTCCGTGCAGTCAACTATACAAGCCGGACCAAATGTTGACGATTGCATCTAGACCTGTGTTTAGTGATGGGGTTCGGATTCATCTGACGTCATCTTTCGCGAAAGTAAATAATAGTAATAATAATTGCACTGTCGACAGTCGTAACCGACCACTATTGTGGAGCCACACAGCTTGGGACGTCTTGGCTCGGTATCTGTGTGGTAGCTAAATCTCAGGGCGCTATTCGGGAGCCCAGCCGCGATGGACATCAACGCTCATTATCAAGAGATCAAGATCCGCGCTTGCGAAGCTTTGTCTGTTTCAGTGCGGTATAGTTCAACTAGGACGATATCCTCTTGGCAACTTTCTGCGACAATTGTGTCAAATCGTGAAAATGTCCTGATGCGTCGATCTCTGCCTGGCAAAATGTCAATTGTGCACAAAGCAAGCAATCGGACGCACGTTCCACGTGATCTTCGATCTACACTCGGTTCAAACCAACTGTACTTCATGGCGTACACGGGAGTTTCCAAGAGCTTCAACTTTGAACCACAAGGGTGAAGGAATTTTCTCCAAAGTTTATTGGTAAGAGACTCTAACAGTTTTAATGATCGAGCCGTAGGTGGATACATTCTAGAAATTTGCAGGTACCCTGACAGACCTAAGATTGGAAGAGATCTAGATAGTAAAGAGTGCATATAGCAGACACATGAAGTCATAACAGTATGAAGGCCACTCGTGCC